GCTGCTCAGTCTGCTCAGTCAGCCCTACACAATGACAGAAGATTGTGTCTGCAGATTCACTTTTCCAAAACATCAGGGCTTCTATATTCCTCTACGGCCAGGCCTTAGTTACCACCTTGAGAAAAAAAAACAAAAGTTTCTACATTTATTTTGTGTCACAAATCTTGTGTAGAGAGACAGTTGTATAATTATATTTGTTTTTGTTAAAGCTCCCCCCGCACTAAATTAAAACTAGCCTATTGTATCCCCCAACTGGGATTTATTATCTGGTTAATGGGACAAGCTTTCATAGTGTCTTACTCACACATATATTATCGTAATCTGTCACAGGTTTAATGTCCCGTTGATTTCTCAAAGACAACAAATGTTTTATTTGCAATCAATGTAGACATTTTCAATCAATTTATACGTGCCATGAATTCAACATTTATCGTTCCATCTCGTAGCAATAAAATAGCATCAGAACCTTGTAAGTAACCAGAGACAAAACCTTCGATTTAAATTCAAATGCCGTCTCGTGTGAGCAATCGGTAAAGACAGAAATAAATGTGGGTTTATTGATATTTTATAGTAAACATATATTTGGATTTTTGAACAACTCGGCTGCAATTTTATTTACATTGTTAATAATTAGTCGATTAAACACATGGAAGAAACTAGAAAGCCATTTTTGATCATAATTATGATTTCCTTTGGCTCTGGTGGGTCTCAAACTGTCGAGCCTGCCTGGTGGGGCCGACAAGCACTGTGTGTGGGTGGCTGTGATTACCAAAGTTACAAAATAAGGTGAAACTAAACTAAAATGTAAAAAGAGGCTGATGATGGTGTACCGTTGATCTGTATTTTGTTGAGCTGTCATCCTGGCTCGACTTTTGAAGGCGGGCGTGCCAGAAAAAGTTTGGTAACCACAGCCTTGAACTGTGTCTACACAGAGCACATTTCAGACCTTTTCTTCATATGTTTGTCCCACATATGTCTGACAGAAGAGTCGCTCATAGGTTAATCACACTGGGCATTCAATGAAATTCAACCTATAGAAGTTTATTTTCATGCTTTAAGTCTATTTTAATACATTCTGCACTCACAGTTGCAGTGATTGCATCCAACAAGGCTTTGAAAGCTTCCGAAATGACCTCAAAATCAATACTTTTACACACACAGAGCTCTGTGTAGATGCAGTTTCATGCTCTGCAGTTCTAAACAGACAAAACGTATAATGTCATTTTTAATGTGATCATTTCTAGATGAAATGATTCACAAATAATCCCAGAAAACACATTTTTTGCAGCCTTAACATCATCCCAAGCCTGCAGGTATTGACTCTGTAAACAGATGTAAAAAGAAATCCAGTCAGAAATCAGTCCAGCCATCAGAAAAGTAGACTAATTATACTGTAACAGCTGTCATTCTGCTTTTGTTTTCATTGTTCAGAATAGAGAATTACTCCCGATACAAATAGGAAGGCACTGATTGTTGAATGAGAGAAAACAGAAAAACCAACCTGCAAGCTAAAGTGCAGCACATTAAACCACATCTAACTGCTGGTCTGACTCTGACTCCCCTGGTTACGCTTCAGGGCCACTGCTAACGATAACCTGTAGCTTAAAGGCTACAGGGCAGATATGTTTACTTAGTTTGTTGTTTGTGTGGCTAAGATTCAAACTCCTGTCAGTCAGTCACACACATGCCGACAGCTGAAGCACTGCTGACCTTTCCCCAAAGTCATTTTAGTTCTTTTTAGCATAAAGGGAGGGAGAAAGCCTGTCTTTAAGTCTTTAAACCCTGTGTGAGCAATTGTTACTCAATAAGAAGTAGAAAGCTACGTCAGCTTACAGTAATGCATGTACTGATAACTAGACTATTACCCTTCTTGTAAATGTCTAGTTGATAAACAGGGTACAAGCGATCGTCTCTAAAGCTCCATTTGCATATTTAGGATTAACAAGGAGGAATCCATCCCCAGTGAGTAAATTGCACCCTCATTTTTGACACATGAATGGTTCTTGGGAATTTAAATTCTGGTCATGAAACACCCTCTTGCATGGCACTGAATGTACAGTGACTTGTTGTCTACGCCCAAGGTACTTAGTGTGCTTCATTTTGTACAAAAAAAACAACAAATTTAAACACTTTTTTAAAAATGTTGCATTTTATTTGTATTCTAGTTCGTAACAAAGACATCTTAAAGTCATCAGCACATTAAATATTTGTCATGTAATCTGTCTTTGTATCACTGAAGTGGCATCATGTGACAATCTTTCTATAACCTTCACATCATACTTGACATGTGTAAATGGAATAAATGAACAAAACTAAATCTGAGGTTTCAGTGTCACTTTAGGAGATTAATCAGCCACAGCAACAGCTGTTTGTTACTCAGTTGCCAACGATGGTCACTTTATCCACGATGAACAAGAAGAACAGTAAAACATTCCTCTGCAAGCTTTATGTTTTTCTCCTGCAATGTATTTATGGGTAAACTTGTTTTTTGAATGGTAGTAGTATACTTTACTTGAATAACATGGATTTTTTTTTTTTGTTCTAGATTTACTTGATTGATGATTACATCTGTAATCTAAATTTGTTTGATACAATAAAATGTTTAAATTGGTGATTGGTTTCTTTTTTTTGTAGGAAAGATTATATGAACTTCATCAGCAGCTTTAGCATGAAGATGCAAAGAACCAGGAGAGCTTTTCCCATTCAAGTGTCAAAAAAGAAACCCAGATGTATTTTAGCAGGAATTCTTAAAGCCTTCACGTATCGTTGCATCATTGGTCCTGCGCTCAGCTAAAGTTGATTTTAACTTTACTCTAAAAATAGACGCTCTGCTATTAAATAATTTAATGCAGTCTGAAGCAGGTGCTTAAAAGCACATATATTTTTCATAAAAGGACAAGATTTCACAAATGCATTTTGTAACATTGCAGCAGTTTAAGCTGCGTGGGATACTGTATCTTTACAGAGACATTAGAAACAAAAACAAATAAAAAGCATGATTTAAAATTGATTAAAAAAAAAAACTAACTAACTAAGTAAGTAACTAACTCATATCTTACAGAACAGTTTAACACAAGACTCTTTGTGTAACAGTCATTACTGTCTTGCTGTGTGATGGATTTATATTCATTTTATATTCAAAGTGGGTGTTGGGATGGAAGCTCAAATCATACTGACAAGCAGCAGCGCTGTGTCTTCAGTTGTTGTCGTGGCATTTATTCATTTAAAGACTATCAGCTGATTCAAATTAGAAAAACATTTTTTCCCATCTGTTGTAAGAAGAACGATGGTGCAATTCCAAACTGCTTCACTGACGAGCATTAAAATATGAAGCTGGGTGTGAAGCTGAACTACCCCTGGGCCATTGCAGTCTTTGCTCTATAGCTCCTCTTGCTGGGAGAGCAGAGAACACATGCTTAACCATCTTATAATGGTTCATTTTGGCCTCTACCTCTTTATTATTGCTACTTATTCCTTAAAGTATTTCTCCCTTTTAAAGTCTAAGAGCCTCTTTAGTTCAGTTACATTATTACTTTTTAATTCATTATCATTATTTTTGAGGTGCAATAACCAATAACACTATGGTATGATTGCTTTCTAAATACAAGATAATTAATACAGACCACAGTGAGTAATATCAAATTTTACCTTCTACAATAAAGTCTCTTCAAAATAAATTTTAAATGTTGCTTTTAAGTAAAAAAAAAAAAAGTTAACTGTTGTATGTTTGGAAAATGCAAAACATAACCGATTTAACTTAAGTTCCTATATTTGTCTGGATTACTGGCCCATGTGTAAATATGTCCCAGACAAAGAAACAGACTACAAAAAACTCATATATGACACAAAGTTTATTTTAAGGTTAAATGATTGTTTTATGCTTTGAAAGTTCAAATGTAACTTACAGCTGTTTAGATGACAAATTAAATTAATGATATGGACTAGACTGTATAACATGACCAGCATGTGTACTTTTGTGTTTAAATTATTGTAGTATGCTACATTTAAAATGAGACATGAGGAAGTTTCTGTGATTACGCTACATCTTACCTTGGTAAGATCTCTCAGTTTTTAAAGTAAAAGGTATCTGAGTTTTGTTACAAAAATGTTACTTTTTTTCTATTCTGCAAACACGTATTACAAATGAACAGCCGTCTGCTATTTTGTATCTGTAGTGGGGTCTTGCAGGGATTTTTCCGACAGCACTTCTTGTCTCGATCGCTGCTCTTTTGTCTCGCCGGGGTCTGAAAATCCTGGAGGATATAGAAGATTGGGAAAAGACATCAGAAAATCTAGTTAGGTTGAATAGAAAATAATATCTGTATGAATTTATCTCAACATGAGATCATTCTAAAATGAATTTAGATAACAAATCAAATCAAGGGTACTGAGCGCATTTATGGAACAAAGAGGCTTTTTCTAAGCCAGATCAGCAACAGGTCTTTTATTCTACTTTAAAAGAGGCTGTCAAGCTTTTTAAAGGTGATCTTTTTAAATTTGAGTTGTTGAAATATGTGCGAGCAGAAAATGAGACTAAGTAGAAGATAAAATTAAGTATAGACATTTAAATAAAACCTCAATCGTGTATATTTTTTATATTTTAATGCATATTTGTGATTTTTGCACGTATAAACCCACCATTTGAGCCACTTTCCTTCCATTTGAGCTTGTTGTCCTCAGTGTGCCGTGTCCAAGTGGAGCGGAAGCTCACCAGCTCAGCTGTGATGTGTGCGAGGCTCCACTGCAGGCCTCTGGAGCTCTCCTTCCAAAGATTACTGGTGAAAGAAAACAGTGCTGTTTGTACGCATATTCATATTCCAGTCATGAAAACAAATGACTCAGCTGAACCTGAGATTTTCTACACCAAGGTAAAAGATCGCACTTTTTTCCTATGAAATTATCTTCAAATATATCTTCAATAAAAAGAAAGCAAAGTAAAAAGAAAATAAGCAACACATAAACAGGATTTTGCGCTGACACTTTTAGGTCCCTACTGACTTTGGTTATCCTTCTGGTGAGTCTAAAATGAGCAGTTACTGCTACAAATTTGGATTAATTCACCTTTGAATAATGATCACGTTTTGTCAAAATGATCAAGTCATAATTACAGGTTTTTGACCAACTCAGCAAATGATAGTAACATAAAAAACATGGTGTACATGATCAACATATACGTACAAAACAAAGAATTAGTGAAACTGCTCCAAGTGTAAAACTGCAAAAGAGCCAGAAACTGAAGTTTCCTGAAAAACCAGAGCTTGACTCCAAAAGCATTTCAAGTAGACCTTCACGTTAAACTGACCAGCTTTACAGCATAATTAAAGCCTGAAAAAAGTTTGAAGTTAATTTCCTCCTTTTGGGACAACTGTATAGATATATTTTTAAATAAGTCCCCAGTTTGAATTCTACGGAGCCCCGCAGGGGACATGGGAGAAAAAAAATTAAGACGGACTTTTGCGAGATCTCGCAAAACTAACTCGGGATCTCGCAAAAGTTTTGCGAGATCTCGCAAACGTTTTCTTCGGACGCTGGCTCGAAGCCGACCGGGAGGTCGAGGCACGATGTGCCGGGAAAGCGGTGTTCCTCCCGGCTGTAGTAGGTCTCGACCTCCCGTTAGCTTCGAGCTAACGGGAAGAATGCGGCTAAAACTTTTGAGAGATCCCGAGATCCCAAACTCGGGATCTCGCAAAAGAGTTAGTTTTGCGAGATCTCGCAAAAGTCCGTCTTAATTTTTTTTCTCCCATGTCCCCTGCGGGGCTCCGTAGAATTCTATTAAAGCTAAAAAAAAAAAAAATGATGCAGTGTCAGTGCTGTGTCTGTCCATCTGAGTGACAGATGGAGCCATTCAGTGACTAATTGTCCTAAGACACACAAAGGAAGTAGGCAAGGCAATGCAAGGCACGTTTATTTGTATAGTACAATTAAACAACAAAGTGATTCAAAGTGCTTTACAGAGACATTAGAAACAAAAACAAATAAAAAGCATGATTTAAAATTGATTAAAAAAAAAAACTAACTAACTAAGTAAGTAACTAACTAACTAAGTAGGCTTTCAAGAGTTTTAAAATCAGTTTTAGTCAAACTCTGTGTGCCACTCAATATCACAGTAAAAACAGACTTCTAATGTGTCTCAAATGCTTTGGTGTTAACACTTTGTTAACATATTAATATCTAAAACCAAAAGTGCAATAACGTTTATTTTCCCAGCAGGTTTCACAGGCCTTGTGTTTACCTATGTCTGTTGCAGGGGTCTGGTGGACCTGGGTTCTCTTCCACCAAAGGAATAACAATCTTTTCAGCCATATCGGTCAGCAGAGAAAATGTAGGATACACAATGAAGTCTATGAAACCTGCGAGAACAAAATCCAGCATATCAACATGTGAAGTAAACTGTTAGTGACTCAAAAATACTAAAACCTCATTATGTCTTTAATGCCAGTAAAGAAATTTGAGTGCATTTCAGTGATTCAAACACTAAAATTCAAAGGGCATATGCTGCAATATCACTGTGAACTGTTCAAAATAAAATTAACATAAATCCTGCCACTGGCTTGTTACTTTTGGAAAGAGAAAAAATGTGATTAGCTTCACTAGAGAATACATTTTACTTGTTTTATGTATCTGAGATGGATATTTATTAAAAATCTTACAAAGGCATAAACAACAGACAAAAGCGATGAAGAAGCTGGTTTTAAAACAAAGAGTGTGTGATTTATGAGACGTACCGATCTGGGATTCAGCTACTAGGGTGGTTTGTCGATCACACAGTGGAGAGAAGGGGAGGCCGAGCTCTGCCTCTCTATCACCCTCACAAAGATAGAAAGAGAGAAAGAAGATACTTAAAGGGCATCCCACACAACACCTGAAAATAACTTTTAAAAGGTCAGTTTGTTCCAACAGTCGCCTCCTTAAACTGTGAGACTGTTCAAACGTTTTTTAATTAACAGCCAAACAGAACGAAAACGTGTTTCATAGGTATGCACACGTCGTGTTTCTGAAACAACAGCGCTCTCCCACACCTCTTCTGTTCTGATCTCCTTCAGATCCAGGTAGTAAAAAAAGCAGAGGGAGCAGCTTAGTGCAGCAGTCACTGTAAATACACTCACTACAGTCGTGCCAGCTAACATCGTCAAAAAGCCAGACAATCAGCACAGCAAGCAATTTCTCTGTGGGGTAATTATGTTCTCATAGTAACTCAGACATCAACAGAAAGAGTCCCTCCACCTGATTGGATAACTGCATCTCCTGCTGAGCTGAAGAGCAGCTATAGCGTCAGCTGTTGCTTTAAAGTCGAGACCAAAAGCCACTTCTTGGCTCATTATATTGTTTTATTATATACTTTTCCCCAAAGGTCAACAAAAACATGACGGCTTGACTTTCTATTGGGGTTTGTGAGGCTTTAAAGGCAACAACACTGATTCTCTGCAGTCCTCTATTTCCCATATGTAACCCTTTAAAGCCAAGGGCATTACATTATATATGACATGTACATGCGACTACATAGTCAGTGTGATCTGAAAAAAGTCATAACAAAAAAATACATTTTTAAGCAACGAATTACAAAATAAAGCAAAATTAATTTTGATATTCAATTTATGTTTTATTATTTTGTCAGAATGTTCAATAAACAGTTATTATTAAAGCAATTATTTCATATTTCAGGCTTTAAAGGGTTAAAACTTGAGCTGTTAAGATCGATTAATGTTTTCAGTACCAAAGTAATGCAGAATAACCTGTTAGGAGAGATTTTCCTTCTCTGCTGCCTCTGCGTCATATCAACGAGCTATTTTTATGGATTTCTTTAGCTCTGACGTAATATCCACCCTCCCTATACAAGCAGTTTACAAAAACTGCTGCCTCTTATTAGGCATACAGCCCCTTGACTCATCAATCATGCAGTTAATAACAGAGCTAATAAGTCAGATGGAGACCAGGAGCACCAGGGCAGATATGGAGATGTCTAAGAATATAGCATAATGTGTTCTTTTATATTTTGAATTTACATTTATTGT